TAGATAAAAGGTTAAACTTTCATACTGGAAAGTTTCACGTTGAAATAACTTTTGCACATTCCTCCGTGATCACTGCTTTGGAGCTAAGATTTTCAGGAGCAATTTTCAGCAGCCTTTTTTTTGTGCAACGTGGGTGAAGCTGGTCCTCCGGTAATCGTCGAGACTTGAGAAAGTCGTCGAAGTTGAGCTCTGATACCAGATGTTGTACCCGAGACCCGAGGTCTTATCGAGTAGCTATTTTGTGACGGATTTGCGGAAGGAAATGGATGATGGAATTGAAGGGATGAAATATGTAGTGTGGGTAAGAGTTCTTTTTGGTGTTTTTAATTAATGAAGATAGAATAGAATGAGGTTTAGGAAGAGAAAATGGAGAGGAATGAAATGGGCAGAAATAAAGTGAATGGATAAACCAAGTTGGTGTTAAGAGATATGACACACTCTTATCTTAACTTGGGGCTTTTATCTTCTTTTACACATTAATAATCACTACTAATGTATAAAATTAGACTCCTAACACGCACTCAAGAGTAGCCAACTTTAGAGATATTTCATTAGGAAATTTGGTTAAAATAGCATCACACTATTTTAAAGGAATTACTCAAAAGAGTAAACAAGGTTTTTAATTCAATAATCTGTTTCTCTTTACAATGACCATATGGCAGAAATATATATAGACTAAAAAGGAATACACTTAGCTAATAATACATACAACAAAACAAAACTGAAAGTAAGAGGAAGTTTCCTTATTTCTCATGCCATTTGCTCCCATTTTATCTTGGTGTGAAAAGTCCTTCATGGCTGATCTCCTTTGGATTTAAAAGACCAATAATCCTTGTCCTTTTTAGGTAGAAATTTCGTGGCTTTATGAAGATAACAAAGGGAAATCAAGCTTTTGATATTTGTGATGAAAATGCCAAAACAGCACTATTCATTCAATGACTTTTGTTTGTGATTTTTGTTCCTTTGTATCAAAAGGGATTATGCTTTTGTTTTATGAAAGAAAAGGCTTTATTCTTTGTTGAAATTCAGGGAATAATTTCAGCCTTGTACCCAA